ACACGGGAGGTGACAGGAATTGGGGGGGGAGGTGACAATTTTGGGACACGGCAGGTGGAGCCCCACAAGGGATTTTTCGGGGACGACACGGGGCTGAACGGAGTGCGGCTGCTCTGTGACAAGGGGGGACAGGCCACGTCCAGCAAGGGGCCGTGAGTGACCACGGGGGGTCAGCGGGGTGGGGGCACCCAACTGTGGCCACCAGAACCCAGCCCTGGCCACCAAAACCCAACCGTGGCCACCAGAAATCAGCCATGGCCACCAAAACCCAACCGTGGCCACCAGAACCCAGCCCTGGCCACCAAAACCCAGCCCTGGCCACCAAAACCCAACTGTGGCCACCAGAACCCAGCCGTGGCAACCAAAACCCAGCCCTGGCCACCAAAACCCAGCCCTGGCCACCAAAACCCAACCACAGCCACCATCACCCAACCATGGCCACCACAACCCAACCATGGCCACCGTGAGCCAACCACGGCCACCATCACCCAACCGTGGCCACCATCACCCAACCCTGACCACTACGACTCTTCCATGGCCACCAAACCCCAACCATGGCCACCAAAACCCAGTTGTGGCCACCATCACCAAACCATGACCATCAAAACACAACCATGGCCACCATCACCCAACCGTGGCCACCACAACCCAACCGTGGCCACCACAACTCAACTGTGGCCACCATCACCCAACCGTGGCCACCATCACCCAAGCACGGCCACCATCACCCAACCGTGGCCACCATCACCCAACCGTGGCCACCATCACCCAACCGTGGCCACCATCACCCAACCGTGGCCACCATCACCCAACCGTGGCCACCATCACCCAACCACGGCCACCATCACCCAACCGTGGCCACCATCACCCAACCGTGACCACCATCACCCAACCGTGGCCACCATCACCCAACCGTGGCCACCATCACCCAACCGTGGCCACCGTGACCCAACCACGCCCCACCCCGTGCGTTCCTCCCCCCACCCCAGGGAGGTTCTCCAGGAGGGAGGTGGGGGAGGGGTCCCCCAGCCCCACCCCCCCCCC